TAAACATAATTTGCTGTATTAGCCATTTTTTCTTTGCTACAGGAGCCAATTTCCTTGCTATGATAACAAGAAAATCTGCTCCTGCAACAAAAAAAGTTTGTTGAAAAGTACTAAAGCAGGAAATTATGTTCAGTTGTCCATCTGTAGCAAATTTGCTACACTGAGAGAAAAAATAGTTGGAATAACTATAATCTCACTGTATTTTATAGTTCGTTTTGGCCTCAAACATACATCTATAGTTCATCTAAATATGAAGATATAGTAGAATGAACACAGATTTATAATCACCATCTTATTACTCTATATATAGGTAAAGCACCCTTTGGGTTATAGTTACATGTATCTATATTTGCCAAATATTCCAATTGAATATATAAAACAGTTAATTTCTCTTAGCATTCAATATTTGCTACCTTACTATATTTTTTATTTCAAATAATTATAATTCTTGGTAAAAATTATTTTATTTCAAATAATTATAATTCTTGGTAAAAATTATTTTATTTCAAATAATTATAATTCTTGGTAAAAATTTTACACAGGTCAATTATACTATGCTTATATTGTAAATATTACAAATATTATAGTAACATTTACTATAAAAATTATATTCCTAACTATAATCTTTTTACTATGCCATTATAGTTCCAAATATCATATATTTTTCTCTCAATGTACGTTCGCCATTTTTCTTATTGTAGGAGCAGACTTTCTTGTCATCATAGCAAGAAAATAGGTTGCTGCAACAAAGAAAAAGTAGCTAACACAGCGAGTTATATTTAACTGTCCATATGTAGCAAATTAGTTTGCTCCTGCAACTAATTATTTTTTCCATGATCGTGAACAACATACACAGAGTGTATGATGACATATCAAACTCGCGTGTACACTGAGAGAAAAAAATAGTTGGAATAACTATAATCTCACTATATTTTATAGTTCGTTTTGACCTAAAACATATATTTATATTTCATCTAAATATGAAGATATAGCAGAATAAACACAGATTTATAGTCACCATCTGATTATTCTATGTGTATAGTAAACCACCCTTTGGGAATATACAATAGTTACATGTACCTATATCTGCCAAATATTCCAATTGTATTGACTATATAAAATAGTTAAAATCTCTTACTATTCAATATTTGCTACCTTACTATATTTTTTTACTTCAAATAATTATAATTCTTGGTAAAAATTTTACATAGATCAATTATACTATGCTTATATTGTAAATATTACAAACATTATGGTGACATTTAGTATAAAAATTATATTCCTAACTATAATCCTTTTACTATGTCATTATAGATCATTTTTCTCTCAGTGTACGTATAGATTAGATCAAATTGAACAGAAAGTTTTTCTACCATTTTGCAAACAGTCATGTAAAATTTGGAGTTATCAATTAAAGAACATTGATGAATGGATCATGCGCGATATGGTAAACGAGTTATGATGACGTCATCTGCCGTCGTATGCTTATATATTTAGTCAAACTAAATATAAAAAAGTTCTTTATTATTTTGTAAATAACCACGTAGAGTTTTAGTCATTAATTAAAGAATATTGGTGAATGATTATACGCTGTCGTTCGCTAATTTTCTTTAAATTAATAACTAAAAATTAGGTATTAATTTAATATAACACGTAGTTGTTTGCAAGATGGTAGAGAGTGGTTTGTTCTATTTAATCTAATCTACCATAAACGAGAATTTAATGTATTATCGACACTCTGTATAGGATCTTAGATAGCAGAGAATTAGGAAAAAATTCAGTCGTCAATTCATGCCATCAATTCTGAGTTTATTTTTAAATGCAAAAAGAATTCTTTTCACCAGACTGAACTCTGAAGAATTCTTTTTGAATTTGAAAATGAACTCAAAATTGGTGATATATGACTGAATTATTTTTTTATTCTTTTTGAATTCTCTGTACTATCTGAGATATCACTGACCTGGTAATATGATTCAAAAGAGGATGATTTTACATAAAAAAATATGTTGAAAATAAAAAATAATATATATATTTTTTTACGTAGAGCTTCATATTCGGAAAAAAATAACTTCGAATATACAAGGTATATGCACTTACATACAGATCAGTAAGATGGGTTGCCTATCCGTTTCACTGGCAGGCGCGATTATTAGTTGTGCGCGATCTCAGTAGACTTTAACGGAACAAATAAAAGAACTAAGTTTGTTTAAATATATTGCAATACTCTTTATTCTGATTTATTTGCTAAAATAAGCAAAATAAGCAAACTTCACATAATATTGTGAAGTCATTAAAATTATATCTTAATCTAAAATGAGATTTCAGATATAGAGATAAAATGAAATGAAACTAGACAGTCACTGAACTGAGAAACGTAATTAGTTATAAGGTCTGTTCTCTTTCGAAGAAGCTGCTAAACAAATGTATACTGGTACAATAAGTTAAAGTGAAACAAGTATATTTTATTTCATATTCTCTAACTTATTGTACTAATATATATTAATTCAAGAAGTTCTCCGAAAAAGGACAGATTTATAAATAAAGATACGCAAAAAGTATCTAGATATTGTAATTAGATGCATGTAGCTATGTACATTACACCATTGTTTGTATATACATTGTTTGTACATATAATATTATGATACAGATATTCTTTCAACTACCAGAATGTTGATCTAACTGCACAATATGAATAATTCTATCTCTGGTTAAAAGATTAAAGTAAATCATAGGATAAATACGACTAATAATGAGTCAGTTTTATATAAGTATGTGTGCAACATTGAATTAAATTTTAAGCTGGCTTTATACACAAACAAACATTTAAAATAACACTAAAAGTTTGTCGAAGGAATTAATGATGTTAGCTGATTATATAAAGCCCTGACTTCACTTAACTCAATCCGGATGACTTTGATTGATTTATTTTTGTAATACACACACATACATACATACACTGAGAAAAAAATGTTTGGTGGTGTAGTTATAGTATTTGTAGTTATAGAAAAATAATTGTCATAAAATATGGTCAAGAAAATAATTTTTGTTATTAAATTCTACTAATTTTTGTTATTAAATTCTACTAATGTTAGAGTGCTAGTAGCCTTATATACATGTTATTATATTGCCATTTTACTAAAAAAAAATATAGTTAAGACCAAAAATAATTATAATTTTAATTAAATTTTTCTCTTTCCCAAACAGCACAGATCTCCATAGGACATCCTAAAGACATTCTGAGAACATCTCTACGTCCTGAGGACATCCCCAGAACATCCTCTGGAGATTTTGTGCTGTCTGGGTAATATACAGGGTGTTCGGAAAGTACCGGGACGCCCGAATATCAGGAAAAATATAAGTTTTACAAAAAAATGTTTCAGACAAAAGTTGTGGCGTTTAAAAAGATGTATTTACTGATCACATCAGTTTGACCTTGGGTTGCGTAGCGAAGGTCAGGTCAAGGTCACATTA